TGAGAGAAAACAAGTCACTCCACAAAGCCTTGTGACTTTATACTGACATATATATAGGCAGATTGGAGAACCCAACCAAACTCCATCTGCCACAGCACAGTCCTCCATCCATATGCTTTGAATGTGCTACTGCTACACAGCAAAGCTCTCCCCAGGTGCTGTGAGAGCACACTTCTTCCCCTACTTAATGTCTGGGCTTGCCAGCATCTGCTGGCACTCCGACAGCCCGGTGGGAATGGGATGCCCTTGCACCCCCCGGACCTTAGGGTCTTCATCTATAAAAGTGATGGACACTCAATGTTTCAGCATAACCCTGGTGTAGACTTTTTGCCCAGAAGCTGGTGTGAACGCTTGCCCACATGTAACACCTTTTGCCTATCAGCCCACTGTGCGGTCCAGGAAATGGTGAGAAGCAGCCACACAATGTCATCGAACTCCTTGGGAAGCATCCCAGCTTGGATTTGTAAGGAGGAGTGATTGCCCTGCAGCAGCATCAGCCTTCCTTCCTTCATCCTGCAACCTCTCATTCTGGGGAAAGTGGGGATGAAGAAACGCTGAGGGGTGGAATCGTCTCCACCCTACTCTGAGGTTCCCGTTCAGCCGCAAGTTGAGGTTCAAGCTCTTTCTGGCTCCCTGGCCTCAGTGTAAAACCACATAGTGATGACTTTATCCACAGGACATGGTGGCCACGAGAGGATCTACAAACTGTATCCACAGCTGTGAGCCAGCTGGGACTGAGACAAAAGGGAAACAATTCTGTTTGTAAAAACAATCATGAAGTTGTGCCGTTTATGTTTCTTTCTCATGATACCTTGCAAGTCCATTGCTTTAATTGGCCATTAGAATGCTAACACTGTTTTCAGGCACCACATGAGTCAGTTTTATGCCCTTGATGGGAGTTACTCCTAATTTTTACTAGTGCACTTCTGATCTGCTGAGAGGTTGGTAAAGTTGGTATTAAAGGAAAGACAATTATTTCCCAACAATTTCTGCTAACTCACTTCAGGCCCCCACTTATTTGTATTTAGTAAGGCCAAAAATTCCACCCATTTAAAACTTAAACTTGTTTTAAAGCCTTTTAAAAGAACTCTGGTTCTTCAAGGTGGTTAATTCAAAGAGTGTTAACGAGGTGGCTCTGTACCAAGTGGAGCTGCTCAAGCCTTCCAGTCCTTTTGTACATCCTGGACTTCCCTGGACTTCAGCTGCTGCCATCTCCAGTTTTCTGCTGCTGTGTTATTTAGATTAGAGACTTGGAGCACAGATCTGCTTCTCCCAACTACAGCAAGTACTATTTTGGTATCTGAATAACACATAATTACAATAAATAATTGTTATAGATGTTTCAAGGGTTGCATTTTTGTAGAGTGGATTCTTTCCCAGAGTTTCATTTTGAGGATCACAATTCGAAACTTGCACTTATCTTGATATTTTGAGATCATAAAAAGCCTTATTATATCCCTATTTTTGCCATCATGGTATGTTTCTGCTAACAGAAATTCACAGCAGGTGTTCCTCACATACCGTATTTTATGAGTCATTTTAACAACTGATACGGTGCTGACAAAGATTTCCAAACAAAAAGAAAAAGATCTAGTCTTTGCCCCAAAATACCACTGGAGAAGGTTGGTTTGATCTAAATTCAGGATGTCCTTAAGTAAACTCTGAAAGTAATTTGTAGATGAATCCACTTCCCAGTTACCAGGTCTCATGTTTTATTATAGGAACTTTTAAATAAGAGACATCTGTTTTAAAGTGAGAGCTACAGTCTTCCTTTAAATTATAAAGACAGGAATATTAAAAGCCTGTACAATTGAGTATATGAACTAATAGGACTCAGACTTCCTTCCAAAACCTCTGGTTGCAGAAAGAAGCCTGAAGTTATTTCCTACAAATGGAACTGGGGAGAAAGCTGGTCATGTTAGAACACTAAACAACTTTTCTATACTGAAATGCTGTGGAACTCTAATAAATACGAGAATATTTCTATGTACTTCAGCATAAACGCAGGAACTAACAAGAACTGAGGACAACATGTGAAGACTGTAGGGGATGGAAGACTAATCAGTGCCTCCTTACAGAAAACCCATTATCAGGACTAAACTGCAGAACACTGAGGAGGAAATATTATTTGTGAACATCAGTGTATATTTTCTGTCCGTGGATTCAAGGTTTTGCCTTAAAAATGTACCAAATCAATACTTTAAAAAATATATTTCTACTTTCTATTATTCTACTCTGTCTTTTGAAGTGAAGATGGTAGGATGCCCACTTCTGGCAGAGGTGTCCAGGACTGAGGCAAGTCCTTTGTAGCAGTAAGGTGTGGAAAAGCTTGCAATCCTGTGGGAACAGCCCCTGCACAGCAAAACAATTCATGTCTTGAGTCAAAGAGTGGCAGAAGGAAACGACTGTGTTGAGGTTTTCGCAGAACGAGGCCGTGTCTGCCCGTCTTGGGCACTGCTCTGCCTTGGAGAACTGTGGTGCTGGTGGTTACACTAGTAACAGGCTCTGTTTTGGTTTCACTGCGTCACGACTTGGAATAATTATTTTACCCTGAATAATTATTTTACCCTATGCAGCATTTCACATCAGCACTAATTTTGGAGGAGATAAAAAGCAAATAAATAGTATGTCTCATCACCACAATTTTTCATCCATCTTGAGGCAAAACAGTGAAGTCACATTCTCAGCACTGCAACCTTCACTAAGAGGACTTGCCAAAAAGTGTAAACATGCAGTTTAATATTAGACTGTATTAAAAATACAATTTATTTAAAAATACATTTAATAAAAAATGGTATTTAAGAAGACATTTAAGAGCTTTTGACTCTATTAATGTTCACTAAACCTTTACATAATTTGACCAGCTTTGTTAAATTCTACGATCTTTACATGGGGACAATTCATGGCCATAGCATCAACATCCAAGGCAACCGCTGTTTGGAGCATCCCTCCAAAACACAATGAGAGCTGTTATTTCATTCACTGAATTCTTAATTTCTGGCAGTAAACTTTGGAAGAATTAACTAGCTCAGGAACTGAACCCACAGTTTTCTTTTGTCATTTGTATATTTTTCTAATACCTTCTGTTATTTTAATATTTAAGATACTAAAAATGGGGAGGTTTAGCTGTGTGTTATGAAATTCAAGCCTTTCTGCTAATCTTAATGGTAGTTTAAGATACAGGAAGGAAAGAACACAGAAATAATGATTTGTTATGTTTTGTTTTGTTTTGTTTTGTTATGTTTTGTTTTGCTTCTTGTTCCAGAAAAGCTGAGAGTTTTTGATGTAATAACACAGTAGAGCTGAAAGTAAAATTATCTAAAAATCACATTGGTACACAATGTTCCTTGGAAGAATCTTTGCTGTGAAAAGTATCTCCAAAAACACTGGTCCAAATAGCAGAATAGGAAACCATTCAAAGTTCCGACACTATTTAGTATTTATTGTTGGAGCAGGTCCAGAGGAGGCCACAAAGACAACCTGAGGGCTGGAGCACCTCTCTTATGAAGACAGGATGAGAGAGTTGGGGTTGTCCAGCCTGGAGAAGAGAAGGCTCCGGAGAGACCTTCTAGCAGCCTTCCAGTACTTGAAGGGGGCCTACAGGAAAGCTGGAGAGGGACTTTTTGCAAGGGCATGTAGTGACAGGACAAGGGGCAATGGCTTTAAACTGAAAGAGGGGAGAGTTAGATTGCATACAAGGAAGAAATTCTTCACTTTGAGGACGGTGAGGCACTGGAATAGGTTGTCCAGAGAAATTGTGACTGCCCCATCCCTGGAAGCATTCAAGGTCAGATTGGATGGGGCTTTGAGCAACTCGGTCTAGGAGGTGTCCTTGCCCATGGCAGGGGGGTTGGAACTACATAGTCTTTATGGTTCCTTCCAACCCAAACTGTTCTATGAGTCTATGGTTACTAATTATTATCAAGTGAAATTAAATATAGCACAGCAAATCTGCAAAATAATTTACAGCAGTAAACACATCCTAGCTGAAATGAATTTCCTGCCTTAATGTAACATTTCAGGCCTTAATGAATGACTTTTCCACCACATGATATGTGCAAAATTGCCATTGTAACAGCATTGATTGCAAAGTCCTCATTAAAACTGATGGCGATGGAAGAATATAGAGCCTTCAGAGCATCCTTCTTATGGAAAAACTTACTGAAACAACCAGGGGAGGCTGGACTTACACGTGTTAGACTCACATAATTGTGCAACCTTCGTTAACACTGCCCGGAGAACTGAATCATATTATGGTCATACCTTGAGGTCCCTGTGCACGATGCCCATTCGGTGCAGGTAGTAGACAGCGTCCAGGACCTGCCGGATCAGAGTGCTGGCATCCTTCTCAGTGTAGAACCCTTTCTCAACAATGCGGTCAAAAAGCTCTCCCCCAGACACTCTGGAAAACACAACGGGACACAGAGGTGTGAGGATATGCTTTGTAACATGCTTTTTACCTTGCTAAAGGATGGCCAAGGCCATGCACTAGCCACAGGCAGTCCAAGAACACGTCCGTCTGGAGCTCTGGAGGCTCTCCCACTGTCCCAACGAGCATTTAGGTTTGGTTTTCTCATAGTCCAAAGACTAGTCATGCTGTAATGGAAAATAAAATCCATCATACATCAGAGAGCAGTCAAAGACTCACTCGAACTTGCAGAGGGAAATTACTACTCCATCTCAGCAAGAGCCAGAGGACCAGGCACTGGTTTCCACAGTCCCATCTTAATGAACTTTATATAGGTGAACTCAGTGTGCCCTTCCCGTTGGTGCTGGCCCACTGAGCCTGTAAGGCTCCCTACTAGTATGATCCCTTGGAGTTGATTTTTTACTGCACCGACTCAGGTTTGGGTTTTATCCTGAAAGAATGGTCCCATTCTCCTTTCCCCATCAGCGAGTGAAACGCATAAGGTAGTGCCATTACCTATAGAGCGTTAGTTTATTAAAGGACTCTGGGTCTCTGGTAGTTTTAAATGCTCTCGGAGGTCCCCCTGTTTACCCACACATGTATATTCATTTATCAGCAGCCACAAACTCTTCAGGCAGAGCACAGCCTTGGCCCGGCGCTGGTAGCAGACAGTTATTGATGAGGGAGAGAAGATTATCGGCGCAATTAATCACCAGATGACACAGATGGGGAAAAGACTCCACAGCTCAAAGAGGAAAGAAAATAAAACCTTGACATCCCAATATTTAATGTCTGCTATATTACGCTTTTCCTCTGCCCTGCTAGAAATAACACATTCTGAACCCAATCTTAAATAAAGAATGGACACATTAAAACTCCCTGGAGGAGTATCTGGGGAAACAAAAGAGGAAAGAAATGTCAGAGTAATTGAAATAATAAAACTCTCAGCAAAAAAACGCCTGCAAAAAACTGCCCTACTACGGTAAATAAAAGATTTCCATTTTAACAAGCAAAACCTATTAAAAAAAAATGTATGCGATATGTTTTTTCAGCAAGTTGCACCACTTAGCATATCATAAATAGCACAGTAAAACTTTCTTTAAAAACAAGCCTAATAAAGGGAAAATAATAAATGATTACAGTCATTAAATACATATGGACTGGGAGCTTGCCATTATATGTACACCAGGTAATTCAGCCACAGCCACTCCAAGCAATAATCTCCTTGAATAATGCCATGAAGTCACTTCCTAGGCAAGTTTGGAGCCTGAATGGAAGAGAAGGCTACTGCTAAAAATGAACACATTCAACTCCGAAAATGAAAAGCAACCTTGGAAGGAAAAAAAGTCAACCAGATAATCCTCCTATTAAGTGCTAGGCAAACAAACCAAAAAGCTTGCTAAAATATCATCATTAAACTGAAACTCTGCAGCAAAGGTGAAGTTCACCCAGGGTCTGAAGTCCACCCAGGAGACCCCTGGCTTGCTGTCAGCGTGAGAGGGGCTGGAGCAGCAATGCTGGGATGACAGTAGGGTGAGGAAAATGCCCTGGTACGTGCCAAATTAGAGAGCCCGTGACTCACAGCACAGCCCAGAAGGAGACACGGCAGGTAGAGGCTGCACCAGAAGTGCCATCACACAACAACCTGCTCTGAGACGACATCTCGAACATCGCATAGAAAAACTTGAATTGAAACTGTTTCTTTCCTAGTTTCTCACAATAGGAGTTGTATTTCTCATGTATACACACACACACACACACACACACACACACACACATATGTATACATATACACGGTGTTGCTCCAAGCCTCTCTCAGCCCTACACCCTTCGCCCGATCCATCACGTGCCTTGCCAACGGAGAAGGGACACAATCCTACCTTACCGATCACTGAAGGCAGACACAGTTATATTGAATCTGGATCCTATTAGCTGACTGTCTTTTTATGTTTCCCCTGCAGCCCTTTATTTTCCCATGGATTAATTGCGCTGAAAATTGAGCCCACGTAGTAATTAATATGACTGAATACAGCACATGAAAAAACTGTGCATGCTGTTTTGCGATTCCATGCAGTTACTTTTGTTATATCCAGGAGCTGGACTGCTTTAGTAAATACTGATTTACATCACGTGCTTTCCTGTACAAGGACTCTTCTTCGACATTTGCACAGAATACACTTCCAGAACTTTTTTTTCATTAAAATGACAACATTTCCCTCCACGCCAGATCACCCTCCATCCCCCTTAAGCCTCATTCTTTAATCCGAAGCTTTTCTTAGTCAAATTCAGTCCAGTGGATCTACTGTACCCAGGCTCAATCTGCTTATAATTTTATTTCAACACACGGAAAATATTTGCAACCTCTTAAACGATGCGTTGCAAACCAGAGCTTAATCCTAGGACTCAGAAGGAACACAGTCACTTGCTTATTCAGAGTGTCAGCAGCAGTCCAGGTACATGCAGAGCTGAGGGACCATGCTCCTATTTATTTGTGTGGTGACTCTGTGTTACAGTACATGGGATTTGCACTATATGTTTGCACTCACCTATAGAGTCTTCCTGCTCTGGGCAAGTGTCATGGCTGGGGTTCACCTCCCAGGGATGCTTTGCAGCTCAGCACCCAATTCTACGGCTACTTTCCATATGGAGCTTATGTCCGCATGGTTTGTCTCCTCCAAAACAGGGTTAATTCAACTTTAATGTCATTGGGAATGCTGCTTCCTGTGAGGTGCCCAAGGACTGACAGAAGTCAATGCTGTTCCAGGAGCAAACCAGCAAGGGCAGCTGTGGGAGAGCACTTGAGCTCTAAGCTCATGGCGGAGATGTGGTCTGTTTGTCTAAAGCTGGCCTTGAATCCAACCTCCTCTGACCCACTGAGACGGGACTTGGCATTCTGCTCTGAACGGACCTGAGCACTCACAAAGCGCTGCTGCAATTTGTTTGTTCCAGTCTTTATTACTTTGGGATAATTTATTGGTTTTTAATGGCAGCACCAGCTTTGCCCTCTCTGTTACAATTTTGAGCAGTGCACGGGAGGCAGAGTTGAAACTGCAGGCAGTAAGAGTAGAATTAGGTCTTTGTCTTAAAGAAATTTAAGACAAAATTTTCTGACCAGAAAGAGAGGGTAGGAGGAATTTCTTATTAGTGGAAGAGGAGTGCTCCTGTCTTGCAGCTGGCACAGGCTCATGGAGCTGGACACATTGTCCCAAACATCAGCACAAGGAACCTTTTTCCCCTGCTGATTTCAATCTTGGTTCTCTGCAAAGAAAAAGTCAAAGGAGGAGTAGCCAAGTGCAGTTACTTGACAAGCGTTTAACCCCAGGAACAGCTCAAGTGTCATGCTGTGATCCAGAGTAGCGTTAGCCCTGCCCTGGGACACAAACCTGGGCAAAAATCAGCAAAGCAGCTGTAGCTGCATCTTTTGCATGGATGCCTGCTGAGACCTCCTGCTAGGTGTGTGTGGCTCCATCCCTTGGTCCTTGCTCAGCTGCTGAACAGCGGCTCTCCTCTGGTTCATCAAGGGATGTGGGAAAAGCCCAGCACTTGGAGAAGGAGCTAAGCTGGGTGTCCACATCACACATGGACACTGCCAACACGTGCCCTGCCTGGCTCCAGGAATACGGGAATGACTTTCAAAACAATGCCCAGAAGATACATTTAGTTTAAAATGAAAAAAAGTCAAACCCAATCCAACCACAAATATGAATACTTTTCACTTCTACTACATCTTTTCCCTGAAGGTAGGTGCCTTTAGCTCATGTCGCTGACTATCAACATGAGGAAGGCCAGAATAAACAGTTTCATTTTCTCATTGAAGGAAAGAGAGAATCAGCCTTGTCCCAATGAAATAACGAGGACATACAGTAATGTCCTATTCCACAAGCCCTATCCCACTAAGAAAGATACATTGCCATCAAACCCCATTTTGAAGAGGGGTAGTAGGACACATTGACCATATGAAAAAGAGACATTATCTGCATTTCCGATGGGGAGATACAGATTGGACTCTGGTTCCAGGGTTTCCTGAGATAAAACCTCATGGACCTAGAGTTTCATTAAGGAGACTTCATGTGTCGATCGTGCAGATGATGAAAATCTTTCAGAGGATCTAGCCTGGTGCTGGATTTTGCAATGAACTCCTATAGTCCTCTGGTCTGGGGTCAACTATAACAAGTTTGTCCAGCTCTAATGAAGATGAAAAAGGAAACAGAGATAGATGTTAAAAACAGAATCGGTGTCTGTTGTTATATTTTAAGTCTTTTTTTTTTCCCTGGCTGGATTTGGGGATTTTGCCTCTTCTTTCTTCCCAGTTTGGTGTTTAAATGTAGATCCAAACCTCCAGCACAGGCTGCCACACTGAATGTCTCTGTTTAGGACAGGTTTCAAAAAACTTTGAAAATGCCAATGGTTTTGTGTACACGGATGAGCTACCTCATTATTTGGGCTGTGTGTGTACACCGTTGGCTGAACACGCTGCCCAGGCACTAGAAAAGGACCCTGAAAGACCTGGCAATCCTCATTAGAGGCAAAGGAGAGGTCACTCTAAAAGTGTCCTAATGATTATTAAGGCTCTATTCAAGGGTTGGTGTCAGTCCTTGTCACTACACCATTTCTATATTTTTGCAATTTCTAATTTACAGAGGTAACTTGGGAGAGATAAGGAAAAATTTCAGCATTAGTATTACACCTTTACTTCACATTAACCGATTTCGCTGTCAAGTTCATCAGGAAACTGCCCAACTGACAAACAAAAAGCAAACAGCCCCTGCTGCAGGGGAGAAAAAAGGATGTGATCGACCTTTTCGGAAATAATCAATTTCCTTGCAGTACCATCAGGAAAGCAGAATGTGCAAAGTTTCAAAGAAGTGCTTTGATGAAAGATGAGCACTGAACAAAAACTCCCTCGTAATTTAAGACCCTAAGCTCATGAACAAAGAGCCAATGTCTCTGGATTCCTGGTGGTTTTGCCAGCAGTGTGAAACCTGCTCCCATGCGTTGCAGGTTGCTCTACCAGCTACCTACCAGACCACCACCACAGCAGGGCTGCCTGGTGGGGGACACCCCTGCATATGTCAGCCTGCAGGCAAAAAAATACATGAATAAAAGAACAAATAAATGCTGCAATTAAAAAGATGTTAAAAAGATGTTAG